AACTATTAATTATGTGCCGATAAACGTTATAAATAAATAACGCATGCACCCAAAAAACATATAAAAAAATATGCCCCAAACGGCGAAAAAGCCAATCCAAAACAGCGCCATAAATTTTTGCTTAGACACAACGAACACAATATGCTCTCTTTGTAATTTAGGTGAGCATTTGGGTAATTAGAAAATGTTTCAAAGATCTGTTTGTGTCATTGCTTAACTCAGTTTCAGTTTAAGTTTCAGCAAAGAATAAATATAAACGGTACAAATTTATTATTAAAGAATTTTTTTGCTTAAAAAATAAATAAAGCAAAAAAAATATATATATAATTATAATATATATATATATATATATATATATATATATATAAATATATAAATAATTTATACATTGATTTTTGTACTTCAAACATTTTTTTAAAAAATTTTACAATATAAAAAATAATTGTAATAAAATTACATATTTTTATACTGCGAAAACTTTATTTTTATGTTAATTCTTGTTTATTGCAATAGTAAAAAAAGTTGTAAAAATATATAAATATTTGTCATAATAAAAAAAATTATTCATTTTATTAATATTAAACAGAATTCATAAATTTAATATTTCAAATTATCGTTACGCAGTAGCGTTAAATATTGTTATGTAAAATATATAGTATATATATATAAGTTATGTAAATAAATTATTTTTAATTTAAATGCGAGTTAAAAGATCTGAGCTAAGATTTGAGGCAGATTTATGAATGAGGCCAAATGCTCTTAGCTATAGAGCATAATAATAACAAGTGACTTTATAACTAGCTCTGAGCTGTAGGAAAAAGCATTCATTATTGCCTTTTATTAATATTAAGCATAACAAGTTTTAAAGGTTAGGCAAATACCTCTTTTATAATGGCTTAATGTCAACTACCGCAGAGGGAAAATCTTTTTTTCCAATATGTTTTATAATATATTGTTAATTAAATATAATAATATATAAAACGAGAACAAAGCGGTTTATTAACAAATTAACATCTGAGCTGATGTTCGTATAGTATTAACCGAGGCACCTTTGCTGGAGTCTGGCAAGTTTTTTCCCATAATCATGTTGCCCTGCACTTTCAATGGGCTTCAAAAATACAAGTTTCATATCAAAGTTTTATGATCGAAACACCGAAAACAAAAAAGAGCAAATCAAAAGCCATAGCTGCGGCCAGGCCGCGCACTGAGTATGCCAATGCCGTGGCGTTGGTGGGAATGGGTACGGGTATTGGTATGGATACGGTTATGGGTATGGCTAAGGGCATGGGAAGCTGTGCAGCCAGAGAGCCGAGCGACGCGAGGTGGAGAGGCAGCCAGCAGCCATGTTAACAACTTCCATTAAAAGAAATTAAAAGCAGACAACGCCGTTGGATGCTAACGCAGCAACAGCAGCAGCAGCAGCGGCAGAAAATGGCGTTCCATGCCTCGGCTGCTGGCTGGTGGCTGCTGGCGTCTTTGCCTCTTGCTCTGGCTCATGCTCTGACTGTGGCTCTGGCGCTGTCTCAGCCTCTTTCCAATCGCAACAATGCACAGCGACGACGACGAATGGCCTAAGCATTTCCGGTTTTCTATTGGAATTTAGACGCAGCATCTTCGGCTGCACCAGCTTGGATGTTTGCCGCCAAACAGCATTGCAACAAAGCAACATTAAAAGTCAGTTTCGATTTATAACTTACATTAAAAGCTATCCATTAATATTAACATAACATCTATACCCAAAATCTAATTACAAACTAATCTCTAGCTCTTTATCTCTCCCTCTCTCTGGCTGTCTCTCTGTCTCTCTCACATGTTTTGGTAAATATGTATTAACGATCGCAAAAACGCGATCTCCACACTGATCAACATTATTAACTGCGCTTAGTTTTCATCTCGGTGTTCATCTCGGTTACTTGGCTCAGACACCGTCTCGGAAGACTCAGTTGCTGCCATTTATTCATGCTCATTAAGTTTTTGGCATCCAGCGATCGCTGCGATCGTTGCCTCGTCTGGCCCTCTGCGACGCTGGTTCACGGCGTGTTCATTCACAAATGAGCGCCTAAAGCAGCTCCGCCCCACAGTACACACACGCACACACACATTTATATATATATATATATATATATATAGACTCAACGAGGGACTCACACCAGCGCACATAATGAGCCGACGCATACAGACATGCCAGAAATTTATGTGGCAGGCACATGGGCTACACACACACGCACACAAACTATAAGAGCACTAGCAAGAGAGAGAGAGAGAGAGTGAGAGGAGCTGTGTATGTGTGTATGTATGTATATACAAACGCTCCACTGGCCTCTGTTGGCTGCTGCTGGCTCAGCTTCTTTGGGCTGGAGAGTGGCACTGTTGCTACCTCCGCCTCCGTCGCCTCTGACTGTGTCGCTGGCTCAGCTTCTTCATCTTTAATTTGGTTCCGTGTATCTTGTTGATGGCGTTTTGCCTTTGCTTATATCTTTGCCGCGCAGCCGCCAACTATTGAATTCTTTTTATTTCACTTCTTATTGAAATTATGCTACGCTTTGCATTTGCATTATGCGCGCTTGCCACACACACCCAGACTCTCTTATAGATGTGTAGTATTACAGCTGTCTTGGCTACTTTTAACAGTTATATTACATACTGCTGCCACAAGTGCAATCTATGCTAGGCTTGAGACCAAGTCCAAAAGACGTTAGCTAACCTCCACTAGACTATATATAGTAGGAAACCTCTGCATCGGTAATATCTCTGTTAAAATCGCACTCTGATCGCATACCAAGTGTCAATTCGAAAGGCAAACAGCGCAAGCGTGTTCGCGCTTTATAAGTGCCACTGTCAACATTGTTGACAAGGCGGGGGTGAGACATTAACACAGACGCATACAAGCATTGGACAGACTGAAGGGCAAAGTTGAGCGCAAGGTGTTCGACGGCTGACGCTTTTCTAAAATAAAACAAAAACAACTCGAAACTTCTGCAGAGCGCAGAAATTCTGGCACAAAGCCAGCCGAGCAGACAGCAACAGCTAAAGATACAAACAGTTGCACAGTTTCTCTATAAAACGACTAAAGCTATGACTATATATTTGTGGTCTTTGTTAGCCGATTTGCATCTGCTTGGCTTTTGAGTCTCAATTTTTTATTGAAGCATTGAAGAATTGAATACAAAATACTTTTTATTCTATTGCAAAATTGCGAATTGTTTTTTAGCTCGGGGCGTTATCGTGCGTTACTTTTATCTAACATTTATAACTGTGTTTATAATTGATATCAGTGCGTCGCCAACGGAACTTAACACTTTAGCAAATAATTTGCGATCAGGAAATATATTTGTTTGTATATTTACTTCATATCGATAAGCCCTAATATGCCGCACATCCTGTGGCTACTTTATGTGTATATCTAATCTATAAATTACGCAAAAGTACATCAATTAAGCCACTTCCTCATGGCGCAGTCAATAAACACATCCGATTCGGTTCGATGATGTGACTGCTCGTATGGCTTTAAATATTAAATATTGAATGGCACGACTTAAGATAAGATTAGCCCTTCCCTTGCCCGCGATGAGCTATGAGGGAGCAAAATAAGTTGATGGGAATTGGAGTTATATTAAGAACAGGTCTCAGGTCTTTAACTAGATTATTCCACATTTTTCTCAGCGCCAACGGAAGTTCCTGCTCGCTGCTGCAGAGGGAAAGAGGCTACTGAGTCAGAGGCAAGGGTAGAAGAAGCAAAATGGTGTAATGACAAAGTGAGCAGCGTTGGCGGCAGCGGCAAATGAAACTAAGTGTAGTTGTGTACGTATACATGTATATGAATATGTGTGTGTGTAAAGTGTTGTATACAAGAAGAAGCAGCAGTGGAAGGCAACGGCAAAGACGAGCGAAACTGAAGCGCACAATACACAAAAAACCGGAACATTATTAATTTACAAGCAATAAAGCGAAGCCAAAAATGAAGAAAGGCAAAAGGTGAACAATGCGCAAAAAAAGCAAAGCAAAGCAAAGCAAAAACGGCCACAGAAGCAGAAGGCATGAGAAAAGGCAGGCAGCAGGCGGCATACGGCAGTTAACAAGCCGCAAGAGTCGATTTCGAGTCAATAGTGCAAGTGTTAAGAGAAATTGCAGCAGCAGTACAAACACACACACATATACACACAGGCGCATCCAATTGGCAACACATACATAGTCAGTAGGAGCCATGGCTATAATGAACCGTCATCCAACATCTGTTGCCCAAAGCATAAGTACATAAGACCAGGCCTGAGCGCATGTGTGTGTGAGAGAGGCACATGCGACACGCTAGTTGTCTCGCTCGCACAGCCTATACAGAGAGCCAGCATAAAAATGAACGCCAAATGATCGTTGGGCTCAGGTCCAATGAGCGGCACACGCACACAACGAAGCGACGAGTGAACGTCAGGCATGTATGTATGCGTGCGTATAGCATGTATACTTTTGTGTGCGAGTGTGAGTGTGAGTTTTCGAGCATGCTTCGGTATTGCCAGCGTCGTAGACGCCGACTGCACCATCGACAGCGACCGCGCTGCCTAGCATGTACACTTTTGTGTGCGAGTGTGTGTGTGAGTTTAGGAGCATGCTTTGGTATTGCCAGCGCCGTAGACGCCGACTGCATTGGCGACAGAGACTGCGCTGCCTAGCATGTACACTTTTGTGTGCGAGTGTGTGTGAGTTTAGGAGCATGCTTTGGTATTGCCAGCGCCGTAGACGCCGACTGCATTAGCGACAGCGACTGCGCTGCCTAGGGTTCTGCAAAAGCACCCTCGGTACTTGGCGTACTCGGTACTCGCTCGGCAGCCAGCTTCGTGCGCTCGGATATGTCATTTGTCAATCACAGTGCGAGCGCAGCGGTTGTCGTTGTCCGTTGTTGCAAGAGAAACATTGCTCAATTTGACAAGCGCCGAAGTTGAACTTGAAAATTGGAAATTTTTAAATATAATTTGAAATTGTATCGGCAAATTGTTTACATATATTCTTGAATATATATGCACACAATCAAGCAAATAATTCACAAAATTCGTGCTATAAAATGATTTGTTTATTTGTCAGTGGCCAAAAAACTGTTTAACTAACTTACTAAGCCGTTAAGTCAATAAGCTGTTGCCTGTCAGCTCCAGTCGCACGATCGACTGTAATTGTGCCGCTACACTCAACTTCTTTTTCCATGTAAATCAGTGTAAAAGTGCAGTGCTAAATAACCAAAAAAAAAGAAATAAGTAAAGAAAAAATAATAAAAACGACGCTTTTTATCGAAAAATTTACTTAAGTTAAACACACAGTATGGATAATCAAGCAGTCTCGGCGCTCTGGTCCTGTGCCAGTGCCACCTGCCTGTCCCTGGATGCCAAACGCCACAGCATAGAGCCCAACCCGGACGGCCAGGCGTCGCCTGATGTCAACAACAATAACAACAACCACAACAAATCAACAACGACAGTCGATGCACATTCACGAAAGCTCCGGCACATTGCGCATACGCCGCGTGGTAGCTGTTTTATGGCATTGTTATTGCTATTGCTGCTGGCGCTGAACTTCAGGCACGCGCATAGCTGCGGTCCAGGCCGGGGCCTTGGACGACGACGAGAACGTAATCTTTTTCCGTTGGTGTTGAAGCAAACTGTGCCAAATTTATCTGAATATCATAACAGCGCCTCCGGCCCGCTCGAGGGCGCCATTCAGCGCGATTCGCCGAAATTTAAGAATCTAGTACTAAACTACAATAGGGATATAGAATTCAGAGACGAGGAGGGCACCGGCGCCGATCGTGTAATGTCCAAGGTAAGTAACCAAATAAACTAGCTCCGATTATCAACGCCCTGTTCTGGCTATAAATAAACGTTCTCAATTGAATTGGCGATTTATGCGTGCTAATTGTTGTGTGTGAATGCCGGCTATCTCAATCGCAATTATCAAAATCGTGTGCCATTGATAACGTTTGTGTGCGAAGTGCTTACACATTGTTAACTCTTTATGGTCCGGTGCCTGCGGCCAAGTATGTGCCATAAAAAGCAGGCCTGAAACATTGGCTATTATGGTGTATTAATTATGCGGCTTATCAGCGACTGCAATATTTTTGCAAAAACAGGAAGCCTCACATATGTACTCCTCGTTATACCGTGCACTGAATAAACGGCGAAATGAGGTGACTTTTCAAGATAAATGCTAAGCTCCGCGCCTAAGCAATTGCGTTCAACAACCTTTCGATCTAATGTGAATGCGTGTGTGTGTGTGTGCGTGCGTTTGTTGCCTATAAGTTTACATAACGCTTTCGATTTTGCCGTAAACACGAAGTGGAATCAAGTGAGCAATCGCAATATGTTTATACCGAAACCTTGCCCCAGCCCCAAGACGAATCCGTCCACCAGCCGCGTTAGCGGCACGCGAGCATTCGCCCTTATCGCAATGCTGATAAGGCCAGTCCGAGTGCAGCTCACACTTACGCACCCAGTGCTGACATATGTATGCACATATTTGCAAAGTGGCGTATATCTTTGACACAAATGCGTGTTAAGCCATTGCCAATACTTGTAGCAGTTAGAGCAACAGCAGCAACCAATTTATCTTATCTCGACGCGCAGCGAAAGTGGTAAAAAAACATGCACACACAACTAATAGGTGTGGGGAATGTAGCGGGTGTCTCCATGTGTGACACAGCGAAACAAGTGTTTAACTAATGCGACAGCAGCTACGCTGTGTGAACAGCTACGGCAAAGTCAATTTAGCATTGTGATTAACTAAAATATGACTTAAGTCTCTTAAATAACTTCGCAGCGACAGTTAAGCTTATGCGGCTCACTTTTCTAATTGTGTTTTAAGCTCTCTCAATTTCAGTTGTTTAATTTTGTAAATATTTAAATATTGGCAGTAATATAGTCAGGGCTGCAAAGCATCGAAATTGCCTCAGATATCTACTATGCATGTGTGTCTATGACTCAGTTCGTTAATCTATAAACTCTATATATTTACATTAGTCAAGGCATCATTTAATCTATTTAAATAACTTTATTCATTTAATTTGCTTTCATAGGCAATTTATGAGTAATAAATATTTGCTAGAAATATATACAAAATTTTATGTATAATTAGATATTCAAAAGTTTTACATAATAAAATAGAAATTCATTTATAATATAATTGTTTAAATATTTAAAAAATAATGGCTTAAAAAAATATATTTCTTTGTCTCAAATCGTTTCGTTTTTTTTGCAAAAAATTCTCATTTATCAATTTTTTCCTGCAACTAAAAAGTGATTAAACTTCTAAAAACAACGCAGTTGAGCAATAAAAAATTAATTGCAAAAAAAAATTAAAATCTAAGCAAGAAAATTTTCCATATGAAAAAGAATTTCAAACTTTTTTTTTATATTTTTCGTATTATATATTTTGATCTAAATGTATATCTATAGGTTTAAAATCAGTTAAAATAAATTAAATGAAGAGTAGTCAAAATACATAAATATAAAATATATATCGAAATAATTTTTTAATCTAACACAAAATGTGATTTAATTTAGCCAGTTCCATTAAAAACAATAAAGATTAGTTAGTGACTGCATCAAAAAACAGGTAAAACCCAAAACAAATAAGTGAAATCAAAATGTAGATAAATTGAAATGGTGAACGAAAAAAAATTGTGTAAGTCTCAGTGATTACTAGTAGCACGCCCAGCACAGGGGCGATAAGACGGCGGCTGACTTGCAATTATTTTGGGTAGAACTATTAGTCAGTTGGACCCAGTGTAATAAATTAACACTAAAAATTGATTATATATGCGCTAGAGAAATGTTTACGGGCTGCCTAATTCTGGGAAGCATTGGGTATTTTTAGCTGTACGCAGGGATCATAATTATTATCAATTAATGGCAGGTGTAAAATATGATATCGATCTTAAGCATAATAACGAAAGCAAAACAGTCTGCAGAACAGTTGCCAGTTGGCGGGGATTTAGCTTAGCTTTATGACGGCAATTCAGGGTGACACGCGCCGCAAGGCAGCTACGGAAAGCGATTTGCTGCAGCCTTGAATTTGTAATGCAATTTGAAGTGTTGCACGAACAGACAAACAGTTAACACACTCACACACTTGCACAGCAGCAGCAATTGCCATGTCAAGGACAGTGAAGCTTCAAGGCTAATGCCTGGTTGCCTGCGTGCGCAGCAGCAAGGACCAATGTGCCAAGGACATGCCGAACATAAAAACTCTCGCAGTTATTGTCACAAAAACTGTTGTGCCTCTTGCTACCGTTGTGACATTGACTCACTTGCAGTCGCTGCCCATCGGTGGCACGGTGACACAGTGCCCCTGAGCCAAGCAGCGCAACTAAATTGCATTTTATGTGCAACTGGCAACTGGCAACTGGCAACCGAGAATCGGGATTGCCAATTGAAAATGTTGACTTGCTGCTGTGCGTGAAGCGATTCGTTTTGGCTATTAAAGCGCCAAAAAGGCAGCTAAAATTTTGTGTTTTCCCTCTGCGCTCATCGTGTGGGCGTCGCGGCAGTGTACATAAACAAATTACTGAATATTGGCGTAAAGTGCTAAAAATAAAGCAGATACAAAAACAGCAGCAGCAGCAGCAGCAGCAACAGCAACAACATCGACTGCAACTGCAACTGCAGAAGCAACTGTAATTGCAGCAGAAACAGAGACTGACGCATCATAAAATTGAATAGCTTATGACTGACATTGTTGTTGTTGTTGTTGCTGTTGTTCTCGCTGTTGTTGTTGCTGTTATTACTCACCTGCGCCCGCTTGGCAGACAATTCAGTGGAATACATGCACCCAGTGCTCTCTCGACTAGAGCCTAGCGACTTGGGGCCTGCCTTCAGATTAGACAAAGTTGCGCCCTGAACCGTAAGAGGCAGCGCCTGTGGGGCAGCCAGAAACCGCAGCAGTCGCAGCCAGACAAAGAATGCGTCAAAAAGCCGCAGCATAACTTCTAAAATTTCATAAATTGTAGCAACAATGGGGCAAAGCCAATGGTAATCTGATATGATTATTGACATGCATGCGGCAGCAGCAGCAGCAGCAGCAACAGCAACCAGACCAGTCAGAGCCCGAAGCATCAAGCATTAAGCATCAAATCAAAGATAACCCACAGCTGAAGGCATTATTAATAGAACACTGACATTCATTATGACTCAAAAATTGATCCTATTATGGCCGAGGCTAGAGAGACAAACGCATCTAGACAGGGTCGCCGGCAGTTAGATGATGTCAGAGTTTCGGTTTCAGTTTCAGTTTTAGTTTTTCAACATATTTTGCTTCCCCATTTTCGTTCGGCTCAAATCAAATCACGTCAAATGCTGCGATAAGCAAAATATTTCGCATAAATTCGTGGGAATATTTCGTGGCAACAAAGTAATCAAACATATCAAACAAACATCAGTCAAGCAAAGTGGACAAATCGTTGCCGAAAAACCCACACACACTCGCACACACTCACACTCACACACACACACACTCATAAACATACCCATTTGCCAGCCGAAGTTTGTTTTTATAGTTTATTTGTTTGGCTTTTCGAGCTTTTATATTATTATTAATCAATTTGATACTTTTACGAGCGCACTCAAGCGCAAACCCCAAGGATTTGTTGCCCCGAAATGCCTTCGCAGCGCGTTTTTGCTTTATTTGCATAAAAAGTTTTATGGACTGGCGATCGCGATTCGAATTGGTATTGGGATTGGGTTAGCATCCCATCGCGCCGCGTCGCGGCTATCACATTACGGCGACGCGACTGACTCACATTTCACATGCTGCGGGTTCTCCTCGGACCAGATTCCTGCAAGTCATCTGGCTACGTCTTGGGGTAGGACAGCTTTGGTTCGATTTGAAGTCGGGGGCCAAGGGTAACACGGCATCACATCAGTGCCAATGTGCGGCTCATAACTCATCATCAAAGTTAATCACACATCAGGGATTATGGCGCTTATCATATAAGTTGCGCCGGGCTCGGGCAGCCTGCCTCTGACTTACCTGTGCAAATGACTTTCGGTGTGTCAGTGTGTGTGTGTGTGCGTGTGTGTGGGGGCATTTAATGTGGCAGCGAGACGTGGGGCGAGGCACAGATTTAATTTACGATTTCTGCAAATTAATAGCGTTTAATTAATAACAATAAAATGACGCCTTTTTATGGACATTTATTTGACATCAGATTTATGAGCGTTAGGCAGCGCGACGAGCAGCTCTGCCAGCTGACTTACTGGCTAACGGACTCAAACTTAGTAGTTGACTATTTAGTGTAGCAATTGACGTTGACAGATAGGTGTAAATATAATTATTTATTGCGTTAGAGAAGCTCACTGCGAAGTCCGCAAATACCTCTAAGCGAACCCTTGCTGCGCCGCGAGACTAAATTAAGCATCATTTATAATAAAAGTCATAAGCTTTTGCCAAATAAAAGGAAACGTTTGCAGCTTAAGCTTTTGTCTGCCGAAGAGCAAATACCCTGGCCATAGATTTTATATAATATAATTAACTATCTATATAAGCGATAGAAATGTAAACTAAAAATATTTTTTATTAAGTTAGATTTTTATCTTATTATCTTTAGCTTAGGCTTATCATCTTATTTGATTGTGGCCGTGATGATGTCTTCTTACACATCACATGACCAAGTTATATTGCCCTTAGCAAGAGTATAGAACTTTTGCTGGCACGACGCAGCCAAACAAGATGCTATCTAAAGCAGCCTGAAGGAGCTCCGACAAGTATGGCAACAGAAGCGCTGGCATTAACTCAATAAGCCGATGCCACAAAGGCAGTCAGTCTGTCTGTCAGTCGAACTGGCTGCATATTTTTAATGAGTATCAATTTATATTGAAACAATAACAATAACAAACAGGCGACACTTTGAGCAATCACAGGGCGACTGGCCAAGTGAGAATTCTCAGCGAATTGATAAACTCAAACACTGCAGTAGATTGTATATACAAGAGAGGGACAGCAAGCGAGACAGCGAGCGAGAGAGAGAGAGGAGCAATCAAATAAATAAATGACTCAGGCAAGAGACGTAGCCCAAGTCTCATTTGGCTGTTTGAATACTGATTGAGTTTGTCATGCGCTTAATTAAAAAACAAAACTGAGCGAGATGGCGCGCCTGTGCGAGGGAGAGAGTGTGAGAGAATGGGTGAATGAAAATTGCGCTGTAATAATTGCGCTGCACACAGCATAAACAATCAAAGGCGGCGACGATTGCCTCCGCCTGGCTGATAAACAAAAATTTCAATTTTCTAATGAAAAAAAATGAAGGGAAATATACAAAAAGCGGAGCTGTGAATAGATTTGCAACACAAATAAACAAAAAGGCTTTTAACGCGACTAACACTTTTATAGTCGTCAATACGTCTGGCCATGGCATTGATCCTGACAGCGGTTCAGCAGCCAAGCAGCCAAGCAGCCAGGCAGCCCAGCAGCCATTGTTGGCACTTGAATAAATCAGAAGCCGTGGCGCTCTTTTTGCCAATTAAGTGAGGAAATCTGCCCTCGAGTGGGCCACACGCATGCCGAGCTCACCGTGTTGGGCGCTGATTGATTTGACAAAAGCAACTTAAGTTGCCCCTAAGTGGCACAGCCAGCGCTGGCACACGAGCTACGCTAAGGCGCACGCTCAAGTGGCTGTTGCTGCCTTTGCTGACACATATATGTATCTGCACGAGTGGGTGTCGTTGTCCCTGCTCATATCCTGTACGGGTTGCCTTCGCCTGCGCTTCCTCAGTTGTAAGTTTTCGCTTCCTCGATGCCAATCGACGAATCAAGAAAGGATATGCCATATCCCCTTACATACCCAAAAAAAAAAGTATAAGTGAAGAAGAGAAATAAAACGAGGGTGACTACGCGGTGGGGCTGTCTTTGCGGCTGTGGCTGTGGCTGTGATTTGGCTGTGGCTCGTAACTTGATGCGCTCTTGAATTATGTCGTTAAATTGTGTCGTTTCCTAATCATTAGCCAATGTAATCGGAGACCGAAACAACTGCGAGTGCAACTGCAACTGCAACGGCAACGGCAACGGCAATTGCAACTGCAACGGCAGCAGTCATTGTTGCAAAAACAAACAAAGCTCGATTTGAAGTTAATTGCCATTTACATGGCTCCACATCACTTGGCCTAATGATGATGAGCAGCCTAATAGTGGAGCCATGCTTGCCGGCAATTTGGCTTGGCGCTTCTCGCGCCGCCTAAATGCGTGCCATTAAGCGCGTCAAATTGGCAGCTGGCAGACGATTTAAATCAATAAAACCTGCAGCCAGGCGGCAATTAAAAACGCATCAGCGCAACGTGGCTCTTCGGCGTTGAAAGCTGGCAACCAGTAGAAGAGATGAAAAAGCAAACACGCACCGAAAATTGAAAACTCCCAAAAATCCAAAATAAAAAAAAACGTATTCCGAATGCAAGCCAAGTGTAAACAAATCAGCTCAGGCTTGGGGCGTGGCCGTAGCTGGCAAAGTTCACACCTTGTTTAATGTCTAATTAATGCAGCAGCTTTTCTTTCGGCCTTTTTTTTGGCCAGGGCACACAGGCAGAGACACCTACTAACAAGTAGATGCATGGCACGGCAACTGACACTCGCGTATTTACACTTGCGCTGCCAGGCTGGGCTGAAGTTTGTTGTCTAACAGCCATGCCACTTACAATACAAACACATTATTTAGCCATCTTTTTGGGCCGATGCCGATGCCGATGCCGCCACCGCCGTCGACGACGCTACTTTTGAATGTTTACTTAACGTACCCGTCGGCATTTTCTTCTTGGCACTTCGACTGGGGCCGTGTTTGTGCAGCGATCGGGCCCGGTTCGGATCGGTTCAATCAAGCAACAAGAGCCCGATGCATTAGCATGTTGGGTAAACATCGTTGGCATGCTTAAGACAAAGACTATGCAGTTGCTGCTGTTGCCGTTGCTGTGCTTTTATTTGCTGTTTGGCGTTACGCTTTTGTGCTCATTAGCAGCAACAGCAGCAGTTAAGCACTCGACTGGTTAAGCCTTTTAATAAAGCAAAGCTATATCTCTATACAAATCTCCTTCTCTCTCTGTCTCTCTCTCTCTCTCATATATACACAAATGCTTATATGCAAATAGCATTGAACTCTTCTTGGAATGCGTTTCTGGTTTGTCCTGCTGCTGTCCAATTCGCCACAGCCACAGCAGTCAGAAACTGTGGTGTGACAAATTAAAAACCGATTTGCTTGGCATTGCCAAACAGCCAAACAACCAAACAACCGACCGACCAACAATAACAGCAGTCTCAATAGGCAGCAAACAATGCGGCGCACCCAAAATCAAAACAAAGTCCCAAAATATACGGTCTGGGGCGAGCTGATGTTGTGGCTTGTTAAAAAGGATCTTGAAAATTGATTTTACGCCAGCTAGAACTGCGTGCCAAATGTTTGCACACAAAGAGCCAAATACACATCCTGCGTTGCGGCTGCTGCCTGCCTAACTGTCAGCCGGCCAGGCCGTTGGCCGTTGGCCGTTTGCCTGGCCAAGACCGAGCCCGTTGATAATTGATTTTGCGGCTGGCGATTGCGCACAGCAATGACAACATTTTACTTGTTTTTATTTAAATTTTTATTTATTTATTTCTCTTTTTTCGGCCACTCAATTCGGTTGTTGTCTTATGAAATTTAAATATTTGCATTGCCGCTGAATCCTTTTTTTTTTCTTTTTTTTTCGTTTTTGTGTGCAAGCGTTAAAAGCAGGAAAAACAGAGAGAAACACACAAAAAGCACCGACACTAAAATACAAAAATATATTTTACATATATATACACATATGTATAGATGTAGTCTAGTGTATAGCTAGATGCCGTGCGTATCCACCGCATTGGCAAACAAGACAAGTGTAACCGAAAGAAAGAGGCAAAGAATAGGAAAAGGTCAGACAATGTCTAATCTTTAATATTTACTTATACGTACGAGGGTCAGGGCTCTGGGTCATTATTTGAACTGTGCATGGGCAAATAATCGAACTAAGCCTTTGCCTTTGCCTTTGCCAACGAGGCAAACACACACACACACACACACACACACAGAGGGAAGAAAAGGAAAATGCAAACAAGAGCTAAAACTGAAAATAGTCAGACTCATGTATTTGTTGAGGTTGAGTTTCGACAGGTTCAAAGGATGCGCCCAAAGCCAAGTTCGTTGCCTAAGTTATTCGTTTGGCCTCCCACCAGAAAAAAAAATAAAAAATCGAAGAAAAATTGAAAACTGAAAATGAACGCTGGCCCTTTTGGGCAGCCCCTGAAATGAATGCCTAAATACCACGCCTCTCCAACGCGAGCGCACACACACACACGCACGCACATCTGTTGCTCTGCCAGTCGCATGCGCTCGCTATCTCGCTCGCTCGCTCGCTCTCTCACTCAGTCATGCGCTCTCTTTGGGCTTTGGGCTCATTGTGCGTGTGTGTTAAATATGGCGTATTGTTTTTACGTCTTTTAGTTTCTTGTTTGAGTTTAATTTAGAGCAGCCGTAGCAGAGGGCCGCCTCATGACCAAAATTATACATTTTTTAATTGATTTTCTTTCAATTTCGTTTGCTCCCCAGCGCTGCAGAGAGAAGCTGAATATGCTGGCCTACTCTGTGATGAACGAATGGCCTGGCGTTCGCCTGCGGGTCACCGAAAGCTGGGACGAGGATCGTCAGCATGGCCAGGAGTCGCTGCACTACGAGGGCCGTGCAGTCACCATTGCCACCTCGGATCACGATCAATCCAAATACGGCATGCTGGCACGCCTGGCCGTCGAGGCCGGCTTCGATTGGGTGTCTTATGTCAGTCGAAGGCACATCTACTGCTCTGTCAAATCAGGTAAGCATACACATATCTACATAGTCCGTATATACGCCGATCGCAACATGGTTGCATGTCAAATGCCAATGGCAATGGGCTGGCCGGTTAGCCAGAAGTGACACTAACAAGCGTAATTTCACATGTTTCCCAACTTACAACCATCGCTAAGCTGACAGGCGTTGGCAAATTTTTGCAGCCCAGTCAAATTAGCCAAACTGCAGTTACCCAGTTCCCAGTTTCCAGTCCCCGTTGCTCAGCTCCTCCACTTCCCAGTTGTCAGTCTGCAGTCGCCACAGAGCCGTGCCTCGTTCATTGCGAGTGCGAGCGTGTGGTAACAGAAAACAACAAAAAGAAAGACAGACAATAACAAAAAGAAACCCAAAAAAAAAAGAGAAAAAATGAGAAAAAAATGGGAAGCAGCGGCTACATTGTCGAAACCGGCCACGAAACCGTAGCCAGCGTCCAAGCGTCCAAGACGCAGCCAGAGGAGTCAGAGCCTGAGAGTCGGGTCCACAAACGGCGACTAACCGCATGTTGTTGGCTTGTTGGCTGGTTGGCTTGTTGGCTCGTTGTTGTTGCTGTTGTTGTTTTGACATGTTTAGGTTTGCGCCTGTCAAATTAAACGAATTGATGATACGACACCCAAAGCGTTTCTCAGGCCAGGCCAAGATGAATTAAATGCCGAGCTAAAACCTGCGCGCGGGCCTAATTGAAAAACTGAAACGGCCAACAAGTTGGCAACACTGTGTGTGTGTGTGAGGGAGAGAGGTGTGTGTGCGCGAGTGTATAACTTGCTGCCATTATGGCAAGCAACCAGTTTTCCCCGAAACATAACGAAACTGCCAGAAGAGCTGAGGCAAGAGAAAATGCTCCAGCGCACAGGCGAAGTTAGCCAACCAAAAAGGCCAAAACAATTAAGTTTTCTTACTGAGCAAGAGTGTGAGAGAGGGAGAGAGACAAACGCAAAAAAAGAGTGAGGGAGAAAGGCAAGCAGAGAGGAAGCTGTTGGCATGGGTAGGCCAGCAGCCAAGTTCTTTGCTTTATTTTTGCAATGTGATTCCGATTTTCTCAACTAGCCTCTAAAGTTACACGATGACTACAGAATTTCCCACACAAACACAAGAACACGCAAGAGCTGAGGGCAGGGCAGGGCTAAAGTGCCACACACGAGGTTAGCAGGCATCACAATATTTTGACTTTGGTGCGGCCCACAGAAGATCAAAGGGCCGTGGCGAGTGTCCTTGCGCTGCTCGACTCATTGATTCTAATTGCTCATGAAAGAGACCGCCGCACGAACATCCTTAAAAAAAGGTCCTTGCGGTGTCATTGGCTATCAATAGTGGACCTCGAAAAGGAGAATCAAAAGGTCAAACAATAAGCCGACAGCAACGACAAATGCTAAACAAGTGGCCAGTGCAAGGATGCAACTGCAGCGTGTGAATGTGTCTGTGTGCGTGTGCTTGTGTGTGGTCCTGTTGCAGTGTCAAATGGCGGCAACAACAACGCCATGTGTTGCGCCACCACGCTGACAACTTTGGTATGCAATGGCCTAGCAGCTATTAATAAATAACCGAGCGATTGATTGCTGATAGGCGGACGCACATAAACCACACGCTTATGACAGTTTTGGCACAGCGTTGTCAGTGTCCACTGTCAGTTCCAGTTCGTTGCCTAAGTCTTTTGTATGTGGCCCAAACAGCAGCAGCAGCAGCAGCGGCAGCAACGAAGAGTAATGGCTGTAAACCTTTTTGTCGACACTAATTTTTTTTCACTCTTTTTTTGTTGTTGTTCTTCTGACGTGTTGTTGTTGTGTGTCGCGAGCGATCGCGCGCGCGCATTAAAGCCCCAAAGCGTGTTGTTGTCGTGTTCGCCTGTTGTGCTCCGTGCTCTGTGCTCAGTGTGTGCATGTTCATGTTAATGCTGTCCAAGCGATCAGTCACCACAACTAGCCATATAACCCAGCTCGCCTCTCTCTCTCTCTCTCGCTGCGTGCGTGTGTGTGTGTCACTGTGTGCGGCTGTCCTCTGTTTTGTAATAATTTATCAGTTTAGTCTTCACAACAAAGATAAAATAACGATAATTTTAACCACTTTAATGGTTTATTAATTTATGACCCTTCAAGTTCTTCACTTTCCACTCGCCGCTGCCGTCGTCGTCTGCCTGAGATTTTTCTCGCCAGTTCTCTGCGGCTCTCGTGCTGTGGATACCTACACACACGCACACGCACACGCACACTCGCACACACACATACATTTATTCTCTGTTTTTTTTGTAGGTTTCACACCAAATTTTCTAGCTGCTTAAGCTTGTTACTCAGTTACTTCCCTTGGTTTGTTATTGTCTAGGGTTACCGTTGGTGGCGGCTGCTCCCGTCTGAGCATCGATTATGGAGCGCTTTACAGACCGCTGTCTTGTATTTAATCCGCTTTTTATTGTTTTTACACTCTTGTCTCTGCCAAGTGAGTGTTGCGTGTGCGTGTGTGCGTGTGTGCGTGTGTCTGCTGTGTGTCTGTTTACCAAACGCATCAATATCAATGGAAATGTTAGGTGCATTTTCATTGGAATTTCGTTGAGCGGCAACCGCGGCAACAATGCCACTTTTATGGCCACTCATTATAATAAAGCGCACGGTTAGTGGTCACTTTGTGGGTCTGGAATTTTTTTTTTCGTTTTTAATTTGAATTTTACAAGCAACTAGCGGAGAGCCAGCGGCGCTTCGAGTGTGAAATATGCTCACGAAATGCGGAAAAGAAAGTTCTAACTGCTGCTGCTGCTGTTGCTGCTGCTCAAAATGGCCGACATTTTCAGTTAGCAGCTGGGTGGCCCAATTGCTCCTGCCACGTAATCCAATAGCTATTAATGATGATTAATGCGGCTGCTGCTGATCGTCGTTGGGTTGCAACATGTTTTGTAATTGAATTTGTGCACAGGTTGCAGCTAGATCCTGGCAGCTCTACCTGCACGGCACAACATCCTTTGGCAATTGGTTCGCTGTGGCTGTGGCTGTGGCTGTGGCTAAGCAGCTTTGGCTCGAGCTCGAGCTCAGTCTCGCTGAGCTGATCCCAGGGCTAATCTTTGGCAAAAAAAAACAAGATCACAATTTTGTTAAACTCGAAACAAAAACATCCTCGCCTGCCGCTGCTGTTGCCTCAGTTGTTGCTGCTGCTGCTGTTGTTGTGCATGTTATTGATATGCTTGGCTATCAGTTGGCAGATCGCATTTTGTGCGTTCTTCGTGCAGTTGGCGGCGGCTTTTGTTTGAAAGCCGCAAAAGGCAGTTGCCATTGTTTTGGGCCCGGGTTACGATTACGGCTTACCCGAGCGTCCTGTCCTAACTGTGAAAACCTTTTTGACTTGCAGGGTTTTTGGCAATTGGACGGTTGGCAGGGCAAGTATTATTAACGCCAAATTAGATTAGGCTCACTAATGCCATTACCTGGCCGCGTTTTACCTCCTCTTTCTCACTCCTGTCAACATCTAACTAATTCTCGCTGCCTCTTTGCTTGCCATTGCAGATTCCTCGCCTTCCATTTCCCATATGCATGGCTGCTTCACGCCCGAGAGCACAGCGTTGCTGGAGAGCGGCGCAGAGAAGGCGCTGGGCGAGCTCGCCATTGGTGATCGTGTGCTGAGCATGGATGTCAAGGGCCAGCCGGTCTACAGTGAGGTGATACTCTTCATGGATCGCAATCTGGAGCAGGTGGAGAACTTTGTGCAGCTGCACACGGATGGCGGCGCCGTGCTAACCGTGACGCCAGCGCATTTGATATCCGTCTGGCAGCCGGAACGGCAAACGCTCAACTTTATCTTTGCGGATCGTGTCGAGGAGCTGGACTATGTGCTGGTGCGCGATGCCACGGGCGCACTGCAGCCGCAGCGCGTGCTCCGGCTGGGCAGCGTGCAAAGCCGTGGCGTTGTGGCGCCACTCACACGCGAGGGCACCATTGTGGTCAACTCTGTGGCAGCCTCCTGCTATGCCGTCATCAGCAGCCAATCGCTGGCGCACTGGGGCTTGGCGCCCATGCGACTGTTGTCCACGCTGCAGTCCTGGATGCCAGCCAAGGGTCAGCTGCGCACAGCGCAGGACAAGTCAACGCCAAAGGATGCCACAGCGCAGCAACAGAATGGATTGCACTGGTATGCCAATGCCTTGTACAAGGTGAAGGACTATGTGCTTCCCAAGAGCTGGCGTCATGACTAGGCGACGCACACCCACACACACACACAGAGAGAGACATATACTTAAAACATATTTGCAGTTCCACATGCTGGCGTAGACGTCAAACTTATTGTAATATATTTTGTAGTTATGTATGTACTATATGCCTAAAAATGATTGTATTTCAATGTTAATTATGATTAATGCTGATCAATACTATTTATTTAAAATATCTTTGACCTTTTGTAAACGAACATTTAGCTATAAGTAGGCAATCCCTTGGCAGAGATCCGAAAGCCCCAAACCAATTCTTAAAGCGACGATCATCACGACTGTTGTATATTTTTAAAAATAATAATGCATATATTTATTGAAGATGCGGAAGCGAGTTAAAATATTTGGGAAATGAAAATATAAAAACATATTTATATACATATATATATATATTTATGTATATATATATATATATATCGTTTTGTGTATATAGAAGCATTATAGTGACTGAATATCTTATTGTAATTGTGTATATAATACTTGATAGTTAACTGCATATTTATACTTAATATTTAATGAATTATAACAAAATTGTTTCATAACTGTCAATGCGTTTTTATTTGAGTGGGACCGATTTCGCAATACTCGTTCAGGGATGAATGGGATTTCTAATATTTCCGTTATTCTCAAAGTATATCTTCAGCAAATTTCAATATCCTCCACCAAAACTGAAGACCCATGTACTGACATATTAAAATTACCTATGATTCTGATTCATACTATCCGGGAAAGGCAATAGAATATATATATATATATATATATTAAATATATATTAATGTGTGCGTGTACGAAGTATGTCAGTATTACATGCCGAAAGTAGGCCATTCAGTTTCGAACCCTTCTATGTGATTCTCATGAATTGCATATAGAAAAGATGTACTTTAATTAAGCTGCACTTTGCTTATTTAAACAAGTTTACTCTGTTGAACTTTATCTCCCTTCCATTTCCAATCTAGATTTATATATTTAACTTTAAATTACTAATTTTATACAATATTTAAAATAAAATATAAATATATTTCTTTAATAATAAGAATTCTTAAAAAGAAACTTGCATTTTCAACCAAAATTATTAATGGTTTCATTTCAATTTAAAGACTTGCAATTTTTTTAAACATAAATTATTTGCTTACATACATAAATAAATATAACATGTAATTTAAAAGTGAATATATAAAAACACTTCTGTATTTCCAGTATTTTAATTGCAAGCTGACTGCTTTCAGCTTTTGGTATATTTTGCAAATACCGAAGCGGTTTTTGCAGTGGCATATTTTAACAGCGCTGATGTGTGGTCACACTGTAAACGGCTTCCTTTTGCAACTTTTTTTTTTTCATATTGCTTGGTTTTTTTTTTTGCTAGATCTATATAACAATAATCTTAAGTAGAATGTTGACTGTTTGTCGATTGTGTCTTGCAAAGGATGCCAATTTCGTTATCTCCAATGGCCAAGCAGCCGTGAAAATTCTATCTTGCACAGGGCTCGAAGTTGATCCCAATGACAAGCTGCCACAACTCATTTGCAACGTCTGTCGGCTGCATTTGGAAGAGTTTCATTATTTTCGTAGACGTTGTCATGCTGCCGACCGCCGTCTACGTCAATTGACACGCCTTGACCGGAATTTTGACTATGAGACTGACCTAATCGATGGCGACAAGGAGGACGTGCTTTTGTTAAAAGATGTAGCTAAATGCTCGCGCACAGCTTGCTCAGAAAGCAACTCGCATTGGCGCAGAGAGGCAGCTCAGGTAATTCGCTGTGAAATAGACACCTATAAAAGCGATTTGCTTGCGCTGTGCAAACAGCAAGTGAGAGAGGAGATTGAACAACAAGTACGCAACGAAGTGGAGAGCCTCATCCTCACGGACATCAAAAAGAAATGTCAGTTAAAAGTGTTGGACGAACTGTTTTATGAGATTGAAACTTGGTTTGTGCACAAACGCAACAATACAGCACGTGCCCAGGCAGGTGGCTCGGACGGTATTATGTCAGACATAGTAGCCGCTGATCTGGAAAGAGCATCCAACCTAACGGATCAAGTTGGCAGGGACTCCGAGCTTATGACCACCGTAGGCTCCATTAATTTGAACGGTAGTGAAGAGAGCCTTGTGGAGGTGCTTGGTAAGAAAGAAAATTATATGTTTTATTCAAATCGATTCCAATAACATTAAAATGCTATTTCAGACACTGTTCCAAATCAAATACCACAAAAGTCTTCCGTCAGCACGGCTTCCTTTATGGAACCCATTCCGACACCATCAATAGCTCTTCCAATGGTTGAAATCAATATGGAAAATTCACAATACAGTCACTTGCGCGACGATGTTAGCACTGCCAATTTTCTGTCTTTCAAATGTGTGTCTTCCTTATCTAAGTCCCCACGAAGATTGCCCATAGATAGTACCCCCCCAAAGAGCCACCAAAATATGGAGCCCTCTCCCAAGAAACTGAGGAATAGCATTTGCCAAATACATGGCATTGAGGGTTCAAAAGTTCAAAACTGTTATCGATGCCGCCTTAGAGGATCTATTGATGCAAAGAAACATGCTTAATAGAATTTAATATTTTATTTTTATAAAAAAACCTTTTTAATCGAATCAAAATAAATGTAGTAATGGTTTAAAATATAAAAACATCTTTCAACACTTATATTTGTCGTTTACAGCACTGGATCATCCGTTAAAAATAATGAGAGACATTCAAGTCAGAAATTCTAAATTTATTTGTAACCAGCCTGAAATATGCAATGAAAATCTTATTCGAAGCTTCAGAAAATAATATTGAAAAATATATAATAATATACTATAGGGTTAAATATCATTACAATAAATAATAGCTTAAATTAGATAAGATTATTCTATTTCTTATAACATACTGTACTATTTGAAAAATAAATACCAACGCGTCTGCGATAACATTTTCCAACATGTTAAGTTTTTGGGTGGCCACAGCTGTCTATGTAGCTAACAGTGTTGGGCAATTCATTTTGTTCGCTCTATAACTATAGCGTCTGTTGTTGCGTGCAATGCACAATATTAATTAGAAGATTTGTAATGTCGACTGCAGAGGAATTTTATCCAGATATAGAGAAGTGGTGTCGCCTTTGCTTAAGGGAGCTCAAGGATGCGCACACAATCTTTGCTGAGGACGACACACAGCTATCCATACCGATGCGCTTGATGGCGTGCCTCTCCCTGGAGGCAAAGTCAACTGACGGCTTGCCTAAAAAGATCTGCGGCGATTGTCGTTACCAGTTGGAGAAGTCGTTTCTATTTCGCCAGCGCAGTCAGGCGGCTGATAAAAAACTGCGCAAGCACATCCGACTGGTCAGTATGGGGAAAAAGAGCCGCGTCTTTGCCAAGGCATTGGACAACGAGTCCGACGAGGACGAGCTTGAGTTCGAAGAATCAATGGCATTCATAGAAAAGCTGGAAATGCTCGAAAAAAACTCACAAAAATGGCGGGAAAAGTACAAGCAGGAAATAGAAAAGGATTTTGAAAGTCGTCTCAATGCCGCACGTGAGGAGTTCTGCAGTGCAATGCGCAATCAACTGGCCGAAGAGGTGCGAATTGATGTGCGTCAGCAACTGCGTGACGAGGTACAAGAGGAAAGCCGCAAGGAGCAGCTCGCCAAGCTTTTGGGTGAACTCGAGGTGTTCTTGACCGAAAAGAAAGCCGGTCTTTGGGAAACACTGGGGGAGCTGCCAGTTCAGGCAAAGCCAAAGAACGAATCCCTTGAACAATCAGCACCAGCCCCAGCACCAGCGCCAACCCCTATATCCGTGCCAGCATTGCAGACAACCAATGAGCAGCGTGTAACCCGAAAACGTGGTCGTATCTCATCGCCCGCAGCTCAACAAAAGCGTCAACCCAAAGTATCGGTTACTGAAAGCGCTGAATATGTGCTTGAAACCGATTCCAAAGTGGAGGTACTCTCGACGGACGATGCGGACATGGAGGCTACCGCGCTAGATGCTAATGAGAGTTTCCGCGATATTAAGATGGTCGGCGCTGGTGATGTGGTCACCAGTCAGAATGGCGAAATCTATATTATAAATGCCGCCTCATCGGCAAATTCGACGCCCAGCTCCTCGACAGAATTTCAGCAGGACAAGAACATCACATCATACAACAGTAAGCACTGGGCTGATAGTAAAATTAACTCTTTTAGTAACTCGCTTTTGTTTTCACTTGCAGTTAAGGACAATGGAGAGATTCAGTTTACGGACGCCAAGTCTGAGGAAATGGCGGACGTAATGGTATTTAATCTCGATGATGATGGAGGCGACGATCATCAGGTGTATGAGTTTAACGAAAATGTCATAATATTGGTAAGTAGCCAGCATAAGGAATAACAATCATTGAAATTAACCGAAATCACTTCGCTTGTAGTCGAACGAGAAGGGAAACAGTGAAGGCCTGACATCAGCTAAAAGCAGAAAAAGTGATTTTGTTGTAAAACGAGCTCCACGCAGCTCTAAGCCGACTGTTGGACGGGTCAGCGATACTCTGAAAACGTTTCAGTGTCAGCTGTGTCCCATTTCGTTTGCCACGGAGAAGACACTGTCGCGCCATCTGAGCACGCACATTAAGACGCTGAAGAATGGAACAGGCGGCGCGCTCAAGTGCCCCGTTTGCCAACTGCAGTTGTCCTGCGCCAGTTCGCTGAAGCGCCATATGATCATTCATACAGGTCTTAAGCCATACAAATGCGAAGAGTGCGACTTGTCGTTTTCGCAACGCGAGGTACTCAAGCGTCACATGGACACGCACACGGGCGCGAAGCGTCATCAATGCCCCCACTGTGACACTTGCTTCGCTCAGAAGACCAATTTGCAGCAGCACATTAACCGCATGCACCTGGAAGGTGAACGCCAGCACAAGTGCCATCTGTGCAAGCGCAGCTTCAGTCATGTGTCGGGCCTGAGTCGTCACCTTGTCGCCCACGCAGGTGTCACGTTTGCCTGCAAGGAGTGTGGCCGTCAGTTTAACGATCGCAGCGCAGTGCAGCGACACGTCCAGAATGTCCACAAGGTCAAGGACACCGGCGGAGATTGCGCAACGGATGGCAATGGAAATGAAGCGGAGTTTGAATAAGCATCCAATCGTATTTGTACACTCTCTTGACTACTTCAGTTTTTATCTCGTCAATTCAAGTAGCATAATTTAAAGTATTTTTAATTGTAGATTTTAAACAATTTGTAATTTTATTCGAAATTCTTTAAGTGCTCAATTTTAATTTTGGCACTAAACAAGCACATTTTCTTTATTGGTTTGGAACAGTGGAAGAAAGGTATGCAAAAAATAATTGTTTAGCACATAACACGCAAATTCTTATTAACAAATACAAATTGGAAACACTTGCAACAGTTTCATTATGTTACGTTATAATTATATTGTATAAGATAGCTAGCTACATCGATTTAGTATAATACAATAATAATATCGTTTAATATAACACATAACATAGTGTACAATACGCAAATGCATGTACATACATGTATATTTATATTTGTATAAATAAATATATGTATATGTATATATATATATATATATATATATATATATATATATATTATATATTTATGTGTATATATATATATATATATGCATATGCATACATATATATTTAAACATTTGTAAACAATAAACATTTATATAAATATGGATTACACGCCACGTGCACCTAACTTTAGACCTAAGCTAATAAATTAAACGTCAACAAAGCATCAAACCAATACGCAACTCACGTGCAATGCAATGAATCATAGTCGAGAGCGCCTTTAAATGAGATTGCTTATTAAATCCGTTTCGAGTAGGCGATGTCTGTGAAAATGCCAGCACATAAATGAACAGGTTTACAACTTAGCATAGCAGGAGCTGACAACAGCTAAGCATTGGAATATCTACTGAGACAACTAATTTGTCAATTTGGCCAAGCTGGCCTGCTGTCACTGTTAGTCGGAGTTGGTTAGAGAGCTGCGCTGCGATTCTAGAGTATTTGAATCGTTGCGCTGGCGCAACATACGCGGCTGACTGGCAGCAAAGTTAGAAAAGTCCTTCATCACATCCTTATACGTCTCATCCTCGCCGTTATACTCGTCGTTCAGACCGATCTCGTCGTTTAGTCGAGTCAGGCGCAGACTAAAGACAAAATAGTTTAATTAATTAAGATATTTAGATGCTGTTAATAGACTTTCAGCTTACAGCGTCACGATATCCGCATTCTTCTGTTCCACGGCAATATCCAGTGCCTTCTTGCCATCACTGGAGGCCAGATCGTATGCTGCCTTGTGTTTCAACAGTAAATACACCTGAGCAATGTGTCCTTTGGCCGTGGATATATGTAGTGCACTGTAGCCCAGCTCATCGACTGCATCAATGGCAGCGCCGTTCAGCAGCAGATACTCGCATGCCATCACAGAGCCAGACAGCACAGCCTGGTGCAAAAAGGAACGCTGACGATCGTCTACATTCTTCCAGTGCTTATCGGCACCCAAAGCGAAGGCCATACACATCACAGGTAAATTGTGCACAACGGCCGCTTTGTAAAGCAATAGATTAGCATCCAATTGAGTGAAGGGTACTTCCTCGGGCAGTTCAGTGTCGGATTCGCCTTCAGTGCTCTCCTGGTCACTGCCCAAAATGCCAGGTGTTTCATATCTATCCAGTGCCAAGTCATCGCCAATCACTAACAAATCATCTCGCGATATACTCAGCGACATTGATGGAATATTTATTGACTCATCATCATCGTCCTCCAGTTCGTCACCAGTTTTTGCAGTGTTGTATATGCTCGGATCATCGCTAAGTGTCTTGGGCAACGGCCTCTGCTGACGTCGTCGCCGCAACTTTTTCACCGTCCACTTGCGTGTGCCGCCCAGCGAGAGTGTAGCCCGCTTACCAAGAAGTCCTCCACCAACGCTTCTTCCACCATCTACAACGCCATCATCTGCTATTTCGCCGCTTTCTATGCTTAGCACCTCGGCAGTTTCGCTAGACATTAAATCCTGTGGCTTGGGCATGCCGCACACAAAACGCCGCTCTACATATTTAGCCTTGATCCAGGCTTCGCGCACTCCAATCTCGCATTGTTCCGTGGGCTTCCGTAACTCACAGTCTTCGGGGACGCGCGCCTCATAAATCCGATTGACGACCTCGTTGCCCAATTCCATCATCACCTTGACATTCTCCGTTTCCCAGGCGTCTAGTGTCAGGGAGCGCACCTTGCTATAATGCACGCCCAGGCTGCGATGCACACCGGAGCACTCGATGCATAGTGTTATGCCCAAGTTGATCGAAGCCCAACGGGGATTTGAGCCGCGACAGTCACAGCAATGCGCATTGCCCGGTATTTTGAGAAACTCCTCCCAGTGGCTAAGCATGACTCATTAGAAAGCTGTTTGCAATATACAGATTACTTTACACTTACATTCGTCGCTTCGCGGGCAGCGCATTGGGTGCATTCGTCGATTGCGGGCGTGAGTGATGCGTTGATGCATGCTGAATAGCCGCGCCAATGCTGTGCTGCAGCGCCGAGATCCACAACGAGAGCATGTCTGCAGAGTCCGCTTGGAGTGTGTGTGACCTACGTATAGTACAGAAGTGCAGACAGTGAATAATTGTCTTATATAATTAACACTGGGTGGAAATACTCACTTGGTTGGCGAGATGACCTCGAAGCAGAAACGGCGGTCACCTTCGTTGACCGGCCGCACGGTGCAGATGCGCAGATCCTCCTCCATGACCGAAAACGAGTCTTCGTTGCTGCGTTTTCTGGAATGCGAATCCAAATCACTTCAGCGTACAGCACAACAAATCACAATCACAACAACAACACAACAAGAGAAATGAGAATACGAGTACAAAATGGCAAACAAATGAAGACGATTTAACCGGCAAGCAAAACGAATGGGAAAAATCAAAAGAAATGAGCAAGGTTGAAGCATATAGATATAGCACGCACCTATAGACCAGCTGGTTATCGCTGAGGTAGAACCAACGTCTACACCAGGTCTTGAAGCCCTTCGATTTCTTCTTAAACAGATACCCCTCGACATTGTGCGAGGCGCTGTTTGTGTTCGAATCGCAATACCGATTCACGCTCATATGTCGATTCTGCATGACCTTCTCCAGCTGTTGATAGTCGCCGCGCAGCGCATTCAAATCCTCGCTGATATTCTTGAAGAACTCGTCAAAGTCGTTGCACAAATCAAAGCCCTGATGGTAGTAGGTCACGCACGCCTGATAATAGTCCAGCAACTGTCAAAGAGAATATACAGCGATCAGCAAAGAACACGTTCAACAATTGCTTTTATTTATGAATAAAATGAATACACATTGGCCCCATATTGGAGACGTTCAACGAACCTGCAACGGGGGCACTTCACGACCGACTAAAACTGCTGCCGGGTGCCAACTGACTCAACGCCGATCAATGAGCCAGCGATATTAAAAACAAAAACAAAACAAAAAACACAAATAACAAACTACATACATATCCATTAAGAGCATATCGCGAATATGACGTCATAAGTACAACAATTGTTGTTGATTTTTTGTTATTTACGCTAAAGACAATGCGATTTCATTCACAGTAACCATATCGCCTGACCGAAATGTCGATAAGAACTGTAGATAGTATCATATATTAAGCTCTGTAATCTAAGGCTTTAGTCTGCGTTTCCACTACTTTACTTACTCGTCGATGCCTTACTTCTCTAATTTGAATAATTTTCTATTTAAGCTTTTTTAATCTGTGAACGGTTAATAATATTGCAGCTTATGAAATCGATATGTCTGATTCGTCAGCCTGGTCAAAAACACATACATATTTTCGATTCTAATCGGTTTTTGTTTTCTGAGAAAAATAAGGTCAATAGCAGCCTACTCAATATTTTTTCTGTTATCGACGAACTTTCTTCAGACTAAACAAAAACAGATCAATTATGTATGCCATTAGTTTGAATATGATTCAAATATATGAAATTTTGAGTTCAATATTGAAGCCTTATATAGAAATGAAGTTAATTAATTTAATAGTCTTATCAAGTTATTTTGTTGCGATATGGAATGGTAAAAGTCTTGGAGGTGTTTTACTTCGCAAATACAATATATGATCAGCTGTTAAACACTTAGCCTTCAAATTCAGTTAAAATTCCCCGATGCATAAGGCTCTTACCGTCGAAAGTATGGAAGGCACCTTGCGCGCCTGCACCAGCGTTATGTAGTTCACATAGTCTAGAGCGGTGTGCTGAAAGCAAGACTTGGAGGCGGACAGTATGTTGGCAGCCTCCTGAACTTCCTGTGGTCGATTTTTGCTCGCCTGTGGATGGGTGGGCAAAAGGACATACTTCAATGCGTGAGCCATGATATCGATGACACTGCACGGTACGCACCTGTGCGTTCTTAATGAGCGCATTGTCATAGCCTTCCGAGACTTTCAAGAAGTGTCCTTTGTAGTCCTTGACCTGGTTGATGTCATCTTTGACAAATACGTTGAGATTTTTCAATACCGTTCGACTGGCCTGATCTAGTAATATCGTGTGAAACTTATTCATTTCCTGTCGAAAGACACAAACACAAAAGACACCAGATAAATATAAAATTTTGCCAAGTAATTAGCTGCGAGAGACGACGCACCTGATAGCAATGAATCAGCTTGCCCAGCGCATTGTGCGCATTTTTATTGTCGAGAAAATGCTGTTGCAGATCCCACAAGGACATGGCAAAGGCGCTAGAGGTAATAAAACAAAAAGAGAACAAATAATTTGATAGCAATTTCAATAGAGAGTAAACTGTGCGCAACTTACCTCTGATTCTTGACATACTCCTTGCCCGAGTCGACTGCCACATTGCATAGCTTGATAATCTTCTCGAGCTTCTGCTCCAAGTGCTCAATGTCCGCCTCCTCCTTGGAAATGAATTGTCTGTGCCAAGAACAAATTGAAGACGTTTGTAAAAATCTTGTTATTGTTTAATGGATGCAAACAGCGGAGTTGAGGAAGCACCGAGTTGCTGTCGCAAACGATTAGCTTCGTCCACTGTGTGCTTAAACGGGGCGGCGCAGGGCGGGGGCTAGGAGGCAGGAGGTAGGAGATGTTTACGGGCCTGCAGGCAGTGACAGCTGCGGCGTAGTTGCTGCTGGCTGTTTGTTTATGTTGACTCTGTTAATTTATGCCACTTTATTGAAGTGCTGTTTGTGCGTTTAATTAAAGACGCGATTTTAATGCCATTAGCCAGAGTTGCACACGTTGCTGAAATATGGCGAGCAGAGTTTGAAAGTCTCTCCATATCTTTGAATCTCCTTAGTCTGCAATATTTATAATTTCTTTTTGTTTGTTTGTTTGTAACCTGTTG